TAGGGATTAAATGTCCCTCAGGGTTAAAGGTCAAGTGGACATGTCATGCTGGCTTACTAGCCTTGTCATCACATTCTTGTAAACACAAGACTTATTGCAAAGAACGACCATTGATAAATTTATTACTTTGCTTCTATAGAAATTTACCTAAACAGGGAGAKCCATGACATCAGAGAAAAGTATAATTTAGGAGAATGTGTAGTTTATATGTTCTTTATAAGTTTCCATTTTCAAAAAGCCATACAGTTGACAAAACCTTATATGCCGACTGGTTTAGCAACAATAGTTCTTTAAAGTTATTTCCACGACAAATCAATTATAATCCATATAGCTGCTGATATTGTCAAACCTATGAAAACAAGTGTTTGCAATTTAGTGTGTTCATCGTGATCTTGCTGCTCGTAATGTTCTTGTTGGTGAAAATAAAATCTGCAAGATATCAGATCTTGGACTTGCAAGGAGAATCAGAGAGGACGTCTACACCAGAACAAAAGCAGTGAGTATGGAAATAATACAAACTTCTATTGTGGAATATGTTATGAAAGTGTCAGATCTCGACGGTTTCTATAACAGTTTCTGTCTTCAAGTTAAACATGTTTGATGAGAAAAGGCCAGTGGTTATTTAAACTGCACAACTAATAGCACCAGGAACTCAGCGACGCTTTTTAAGGCTTATCACGATTTTATCTTTGTTATTTCCTCAAGGCTCGATTACCAGTGAAGTGGATGCCACCTGAATCACTATTCCATGGGGAGTCGTCCATTGCTAGCGATGTGTAAGCGAATATGGCATTTCATTGATATACTGGTTGTTTCTTGATGAATGGTACAAATAAATAAAATTAATGTCATCTATCTTTTTATGTTTTTATAAAATGATTTTCAGGTGGTCTTATGGAGTTGTTTTGTGGGAAATATTTACTCTTGGTGAGTTTGTGTTTGAAAGTTATTCAAATATAGATAAACGACCAAAACTAACCTATAAAGAGGCAACATCTCAAATCTTAATGTCAAATTGATTTGTATATCTTCAACCAGGTGATTCTCCTTATCCTAAATATAAAGGGAAAGACATACCAAGATTGCTGCAACAAGGCTACAGAATGCCAAAGCCACTCCATCTATCAGAGACTTTGTGAGTTGAATCTGCATTTTTCTATCTTATAATTTGTTTGATCTTAGGCTAAAAGAGTGTTTTCAACGAGTTCGATATACAGTACACAAAGGAAACACTTTTCAAAGGAGAGACTTTTTTTCTAAAGAAATCAGTCAAGATGAAAATTTTATATGATGACATCAATCATTTCTACATGATTGAATTAAATTAGTGTAAATATAGGTCCCATGTGCCATGAACTGCCCAATGCTTTGATATAYTAGTTCTCAGCCAATAGAGGAAGCAATGAGTTGCCTTGGGATCGTAGTTGTTGGTGACAGACAGGCAACGGTCTCATTCATGGGCCATGAAAGTCACTTATCAAATCGTCCATATCTAGCATAATCATGTGCCACAATTATAAGATTCACTGACAAGGCATGAATTTCAATAGTCAGCTAACAATTTATACATTTTTGTCATACTCTCTTCATATTTTTTMAGGTACTCATTGATGTTAAGATGCTGGCAAGATAAACCCGAAGACAGACCTTCCTTTACCATGATATGCGATGAGTTCAAACAATACTGTAACACAACCAAGGTGTGCTTTCCTTAATTAAACAAGTTGCGTTGATATAAAATCACTGAGTGTAAATTTTAGCAATTCGTGTCAAACAACTAACTCAGTTTTATCTCAATAAAGCTGTCAGCTTTATCTTTATTTCAATAAAAAACTTTAGTTAAACCCCTCACAAAAATCAATGCGACTCGAAATTTAACGATTTTCACTTTTTGTTTCAGGATTATATCAACCTTGACGTGTTTGAAGAAGCTTTGTACGTCAACTTCGATGTCCTTTAGAAATGAATGGAAGATCTTCAAATAGATGTTTATCCTCAAGGAAAAAATCATCTCATTTTACCCTTGTTGAAGATTTATAGGATAACATTCAAAAAAGCTACAGCTGCACAAAATTAAAATTTTGAAGTAAAAAGTGCATGGAGTAGGATCGAGTAGCAAGCTCAAATTTTATCATTTTCATGTATGACAGAAATACAAGATTTTGTACTGGACTTCGTCAACTTCAAATTGCACGTATGAAATAAATAAATGATTTATAATTCAAAATATATACTGTTATCGTACGTATTCGATAAGGAAATCTTACGTATTAGTTAATCCCACGCATGCCTTTAGTTATTTGCTCACTTTATCCAATCAACACTCTGTTCTCTTTGTATCTCACGCCTTTAWATGAAARCAACATTTCCATACAAGTCATGGGCTTCCTGTGCTATGGAAATAACAGTGCAATTATTACCTTATGTTATCAAATGTGAAAATCTAAGAACAGTTTTCAAAAGAATAATTTGAGGTAGCTCAATATTATGTCTCGTCTTTACAAAAAGGAAATTATCAATTTTAATTATTTAGGCAATTATTTATTTCRTCCTTATTCCGACCAACTGCCTTTGATTAATATAGCTTTGCTATATATCAAAAGCCATTAGTCAATCAGTATAACATTTATATAGAAATCATTTTACACTCATCAATATCTGTGAAGCTTTGAGGACCATATTCTACAGCACGAGTATGCAAATTTGTCACCACGAGCCGCACACATTGTTGTTCAGAAACCATACTATTCATGCACAACAAAGGTCAAGCAGATCTGCATTTGTTTGATACTCTGATCAAAACACGCGGGATCGTTGTAGGGAGAACACGAGAGAAGCGTAGGAAACTATCACGCGACATAACAAAGCTTGGCGAGGAGTTTGATTTTTGAAACAGTRTGAAACAATGAATTCTCCTTACTTTGCAGTTTTCGGAAAAAAGCCAATAAGTGTAGGTCATAGAACGGTGATTCTGAAGCTGGAATTCGTCGCGCTGATTTGACAAATGATGTGTTCATTTCACTTAAAATTATTTAGTATAAAAGTGTACTTTTTTATATCAAAAAATAACACTCTGATACATTTAGCCCACAAGATTACTCAAATTTACTTGAAAATTAGGCTTCATTATTACAGTGGATCATTACAAAATGAATACAAGATCAAGCGGCAAGGCGCAACAAGATGCTGAACTCAGGTGAACTTAACGTCCAGAATCAAACTGCCTATTGCCGTGATACTCAAAGGTCTATTTTGTGAAGGAAATGTTAATGTTTTCGATGTGGCAAGATGGAAACATTATAAGATTGCTTTGCTTGAGATTAAAGTTTTGGTTGTGTTCTGCCATGCTGTTTATCGGATGACTGTTTGCTGCTACAAATTTACTATTTTCCAAGGCTGCCGATAAGACATGGCTGGAGGTTGGACGATGATAATGCGTGAGCATTGTAATGCCTAAGCTTTATTCATTCCGATGAACGGATATTGCCATTATATGTGGGTTTGATATTCCAGCATCTGACCATAGAGTAACAGCTGAACTGCTCTACCTCAGCGAGTTATTTGCGTATCTTCCAGAAAGCTGTGCTTCTTTGTTAATCTCACTCATCATAGCTTCCTATCTTAGTTCACCTCATGAAGGGCGATTTTCAAACCACTCTTCATCAGATTGCCTCCATCCTTGCCATTCAGGGTACTGAAAAAGCTTGAGCAATTTGGATTTCACTTTGATGGTACAAACAAATAGAGCATTATAGCCATCGATATCTTGCTCTGTCTCATACATGCCGCCTTTCTGAAAAGATTCAACATCCTTTGATCACCCTGGATGGTTTCTGGTTTACTCGTTATGTTTCATAGTGGCACACAATTTTCCTCGGGCATCTTTTTCAAGGGCAAATCTGGTTGGAGTTAGTGATCATTGTCCGTCTCTTCCTCTTCGACAACAAAACAATGTAGTTTGAAGCTAGAAGCAGACC